TATTATTATTATTATTATTATTATTATTATTATTATATGGGTAATCTACAATTAGATTCACAGTCAAAGATTGGTGAAAAATTAATAGTTCAAGTCCTAACCAAGGACCTAAGAATTATTAATGTAGCGTCTGAGGATACAGGCAGTTCCAAGCAGGGTATTTTTTTTGGGAAATTAGGGCATTCAGGTCTGATGAATTCAAAATTTCCAAATATCGAGGGAATCCTTTAGGCATTGCTCCAAAGGCTCCAATCACAATCAGGATGATGATGATGATGATGATGATGATGATGATGATGATGCATACTGGGCCTAAAGGCAGCCGCATTCCGGGGCTGCAGAGCTAAACGCCCAGCAGAGAGTGAGCCAATGGCCTCCAGCAGACGCTGGTGCTGTGAATGTGCCCAGGGCCGTATAAATTAGGAGGCCGCCCTTATCCCACGCCTGCCCTGTGTTTTGAGCTGGTCTGGCCTAGAATAGTGCTGGTCTCCTCTCCCCCAGCCCCCAAATGGCCAAGGTAAGTAGGGTGGGCTTCGTTAATCAGGGGAGGGAGAAAAGTGTGTCATCTAAACACAAGCAATCTTGTGTGACCTCACCTTAACAACGTCTGAATTTGGGCACTATCTCGAAGAAGGGTTTGTATTTGGCCGGGTTCGGGAGTCATGATTTAAAGTTTTTAGCTAAGCGTTTTCTAGCTTGCCACTCCCCCCCGCCCTTACATTTGAAAACATCCTGTTTTTCCTTTCCTCGAATCCCCTGGAAGAACCTGGAGACCCAGAAGGATGGGAGAACGAAGGGATAAATATACTCATTGAAGTTCTTTTCAAGAGATTCCATTTGGCTGTTTAAAGGGAAACAGGAGATCTATTTGTGTATCTGCTTGCACACGTACATACACATCTACCGAGCCAAATATATATGTTGGTTGCAAAATATGGAGGCTTTGGACTTTCACAGAGCTCTTGGTCTGGGGGATGGAAATTGCCTTAAACCAGCAGTGTCCTTACATTGCTGTACGGCCTTGGTAGCCCATCCCAGGTCCCCTGTGTTTCCACTCCACCTGAGGAAGAGGAGGCACAGCCCCCCAAAATAAGCTGGGGCAGCTTGAGACAGGAACACCCCTCTCCTTCTAGGATAAACCAAGATGACATCGAAACTGAAATAGCAAGCTAATTAGTTGTCCATAAGGAACTAGAGAAAGAAGAAAATGTTCTCTTTCTTCATAAAGGGTTGGAAGAGAAGACAACCAACAGGTGACTTGCGTAAGCCATTAAACCTGGCTTGGTGAAATGCTTGCCTGTTCCCGCCTCCCAAATTCTAGACCGAGGTGGGAAATGGGTGCCTCTTTGCGTGTGGCTAGGCTCCAGTTCCCATCCTCCTGGCCCCAGGCTAACCCGGGAGCTCGCCCCCCAAAAGCTGTCCCGTCCTGGCCAGAGTCAGGGCTGGAGGACCCTGCCGGTGCTCAGGGGGCCGGCTCGGGCTGAGCTGCTCGGCGAGCGCGAGAGGTTTGCAGGATCAAGAAACGGGTTGTTCAATCGGCCGCCCCTGCTGGGCAGCCGAGGAGGAAATGAGTCGACTCAGCTATTTCCCCAAGAGGAGGAGGGAAAAGACGCCGGAGTTTCCAGGTGTGTAACACCCCGGTCCCAGAAAGTATATAACAGGAGCCAGGTGTCAAGGTGCTTCAGATCACTGGTCCTGCAGCGGACCTTTAGCCTTGGCACGGCAGCTGGCTACCGAAAGCAGCCCCGGAGCATCCTTGCCTGCCCGCAGCCTCTTCCCTGGACGGTTCAGCCAAGATGGTAAGAAGGCGGCCTCTGCCGCCTCCAGGCGTCGGAAGGAAATGCCTGGAACAAGTCGAGTCAGAGCACCTGGCCGGGGGCACCTGGGCCCTGGCCAGCCTCGTAAGCGAGGGGCCGGGGGGCCTCTGGGTCTGCCCACCCCGCCGGTGGTGTGGAATGTGCACAGATGCGCTTAAAGCCCCCGGCGCACGTCCAGGTCCAGAGGTTGCTGAGGCAAAGCAGGTGCAGAGGGGAGTGGAAATGGGAGGTGGCGCCTTCGCTTTTTCTCCTCCTCAATCCGCTGCTTCGGGGAGCCGGCCTTTAGAAAGGCGGAGCGTCTCCCGCTGCCAGCCGGCCCGGCTTCTGAAACCCCGATGGCACTTGCGGAGAGCACTGATAACCCAAAGGCCGCGGCTTCTTTTCAAGCACCCTCGCCGCCCAATTTTACGGCCGCCTGCCTGGAAGGAAACCCTCTCGAGCCATAGGCTTTACTCTCTAGTCAGTGTGAAGCCTCACTCGAATACGTTCTGCTCAAATATTGGTAAGAAAATACGTTTTAAAATATTGGGATTGTCAGATTCTAAACCTCCCACTGGGGAGATAATCTCTGTGGTTTAATTCCTGATAATAAAGCTTGGGAGATTTTGATCAATCCAGCAACGGCAGAGAAGACAAAAGGCTCCTTTTTGGTATAAACTGGATCAAGAAATAACGCCTCAGGAATGCGAGAGAGACTTTGGTGGGGGAAAGGATGCCGAAGGAAGGCCGTGCTAAGTCGCCTTCTTTAACTCCCGCCTGCTCCTCTCTTCTCGTTCCTCCAGTGGTCCCTCCTGGTTGCCCTGATGTGCCTCGCCTGGGCAGATGCCAGGCGACCGGGCTGCTTCAGCACGGAGGAGCTGCAGGACGGTGAAATGCCCGTGCAGTTCCGGAGCTGGACCTCTTCGTGGAAGCGCCACGACTCCGTGCAGCTCGTCCCGTTCCTGGAGAACGAGCAAAACAGCCAGAGCCGCCCACGGAGGCATCACAGCCACGGCTGCCCTAACCTGAAGCTCCAGGATGTGCAGAATGGCGAAGTCCACGAGCGATCCATCTCGCCCTGGGAATACCAGTAAGGACGCTGGCATCAGAGTTGGAGGGGGCAGGGGAACCTGGGGGGTCGTGGGAAGTTCTCAGCGCGGGGGCCCAGCTGGAATCGCCCTCAGTCTGCTTCCCATTTCCTGGCTGAGATCCCTTCTAAGTATTCCTGGGTCTAAAGAAGTCCACAGGCTGTGGTTGACGAATAATCGCTGGGTTCACCCCACACACAGAGGTCGAGCCAAACCACCCCCGCGAAGGCAAGGCCTGTTGGGGGATGGCATCTCCTGGGGTACCTCGTGCCTTAGGATGGAGAAAGAGAAGCATTCCAACCTTTTGGGATGCTGGCGGGCAAACGTCCTTCCTCAGCTTCCCCTTCCTGGCCCGGACGAGCCTTGTCCTCCCACGAGACAGACGCTCTCCTGTAAGTCCCCAAAGCCTCTGTGAGCAGCCTGTCTTCTCCATCCCCAGGAGACCTCTCAGCGAACAATTCCCAGAATCCCTTGGGAAGGCTGGGGAGACCAGCGGTGGTGGCTTCCGAGGTCTCCTAGCCCACTTTTCTCTCTTCCTTTGTTCAACAGCATCAATAAAGATGAGGACCGCTACCCCTCCAAGCTGGCCTTCGCCAAGTGCCTCTGCAAAGGTTGCATCGATGCCAAGACGGGGCGGGAGACCACCTCCCTCAACTCGGTGGAAGTTCTCCAGAGCATGATGGTGCTTCGCCGCAAGGCCTGCACGCACAGCGGCAGCGGGGCCGGGTTCTTCTTCGAGGAGGAGTACATCAACGTCCCAGTGGCCTGTACCTGTGTTGTCCCGCGTTACAGCAGCTGAGCAGACCCCGGGCTGGGTCTCCGGTGCTTTGGTCTGCCGCCCCTCTTCCCTCCAGTCTTCATCAGTGGACGGTTGTGTTGAACGGTGTTTGTTTTAAAGCACTTGTGCATTCAGCCTGTTGGCCGCGACCGCCCTACTTTGGGGAGGGCGAGCTGGCCAGCACCGGACCGTGCTTGAGCGGCCGTCAGCTCTGCTGCTCCAACTTTTGCGCTTCTCGTTGAAAAGCATCTCGCCCTCTTAAGGAGATACGAATTGATGAAAAAGAAAATCCTATTTATTTGTATTTGTATTTATGTTAACTTATATTTGAGATTTTCATGTGCTTCCAGCTATTATATTTATTATTTCCCAACATGGTAAGGCCGATTTGCAGGACAAACCTTGGGGCCCCCTTTGTTCCTTTTGGGGGCAGGGTCCTTAGCTGTCCCTGGGCCACCCCAGCACCCCAAAACCCTGGGACTGCATAAGCCAGGACTGGTCCTGATCCGCCTCCTGTGGGGGTTTGGGAGAGCCTTACGGGGCTCCCTCGCAGAAGGGAGATGTTGCACGGGGACCCCAAGGTTCCTCCGGGAGCTCACGGGGTTGATGTGAAGGTCTGCCCTCATTTTATCCCAACAACAGCCCTGTAAGGTGGGCTGGGCTGGGACACGGTGGGTTTATGACTATTTATTTCCTTTTTCTTATGAGGCCTTTGCTCCCCTCTTGGACTGTGATGTGATTTAAATTATTGAATTATTTATATGTATTTATTGTAACTCAATACAATATTTATTGTTCCTCGGGTGTGGAATCCTTTCATTAATAAAGATTTTATTTCTGTACAGAAAAGAGCTGATTCAGATGGCTTTATTCACAGTGCGAGAGCATTATTTATATCATTTATATACTTACATTTAGGAGAGGAGGAGGAGGCAGCCAGAGTTTGGTTTTTGCCATTTTTGTGTTGAGGGGGAGGATTTCTGAGCCACTCAGAGCCTTGCTGGACTGCGCAGCACATATTTTATAGTAAACAAATACATTTAGTGCCTGCCAAGATTTGCTTTCGTAAAGCCTCCTCTCCCCTAACTGGAAGCATGGAAGTAAATACTGCATGTCTGAACCAAGAAGGGGCAACTTGCACCGGTAACAAACAAAATATCGCCCAGCCATTGGCAAACACACATCCCAGGAATTCCGCTGGATCACCAGAGGTCCAACATCCTGCCGCTGACCTTTTCCCGCCCTGCTCTTGTTCCCTGGCAAAATAGCATTTCAAGGTACACTGCTTTAAAATGTGGAGGTTCCACTCAGCTGTCAGCAAACAATAGCCCTTGGTAGCTCTCTCCTCCCCCCTTCATTTGACAGCTCTCCCCTCCCCTGCCCCCTTTGAGACCCATCTTAAAGGGGCATCCAATTAATGGTTTTTACGCAGGGTGAACAAAGCCCTTTAGCGGGGCCGGATTGTTCATCAGGGCAGGAGGGATTTGGGGGCAAACCAGGCAGGCTGCCTCGTCCACCCTCTTGGGACCACCAGCCACTCTTCTGCCCCTTACAATAAGCCGCAGATCTTGGTCCCAAACATTGCGTGTGCCTGCGAGGGGCTTCTCAGGCCCCCTTGGAGGCTTTGAGGGATGCTGAACTGAAGGGCACATCCTGTTGCTCAGATCTTGTCGGGGGGGGGGGCTGCAGAGCTCCTAGCACAGCGCCAGGCCTCCACCCCACCACCAAGTCTTGAATTTGCACACTCCAGAGCACACCAAATTTCCTTGGATTCCCTTTTTAGCAGCCAGGAATGCTTAAAAGGCAGCAACTATGTAAGCCAGTGTTTCTCAACCTTGGCACCTTTCAGAGGGGTGGACTTCAACACCCAGAATTCTGGGCGTTGAAGTCCACCCCTCTGAAAGCTGCCAAGGTTGAGAAACACTGCTGTAAGCATTGTGCACAAAGAGGATTTTCCATGCACGCTTGCAAGTGAACCAGGGAGTCTGTAGATGGAGCGCAACTGACAGAGTCAAGCTCAAAAGGAGACCTTCCACCTTCTGTCTCCTTCCAGAGATGCTTAAAGCGAGGATGCCCCGGACAGCGTGGCTGAGACGGCTTTGGATGATGGGACCAACAGCAGGAAGGAGGCATGGGCAGCCAGGAATCGGGCCCCATCTGCTGCCAGCCGCCTAGCAGCCCAGCCCAAGCGCATCTCCCCTTTCTGCTCCGCACTCAAGGACCCAGCGCTGGGACAGGGACAGCCTGAGGCAACCCAACAAGCAGGGGAGGGACTTGATCTCAGGGCAGGAAGACCAGCCCTACCAGAAATGCTGGCTTCTTCTCAGCCCACGTGGCCACCAAGACGCTGGCCACTGCCAAGCTCAGCCCAGCAACCGGTGGGACGAGGAGCCGCGGAGCCCAAGGAGCTGGCAGGGGTGGGGGAGCTCCCAAGGTGCTGGAGAAGCACCAGCAATGCCAGGCCACGTGGCACCAGCCTTGTCACCCCCCTGCCTGGCAGCCAAACAGCTTTGGGGAGAAACCCAACGGGCCTTTTCCGTCAGCTGCTCCACATCGTTTGTGCCCCTGAACGTGCATTCCCTCCAAGTAAACTGAGCATCCAGATGCAGAATCTTGTGATGCAAATTAGGGATGCATATGGAAAACCTAGAATTCCGCCCAAACACGAACACCGAGCCAAAAAAATCACAAAGTCCTGAAAACAGTAGTTGGTTTATTGAAGAAGAACTAAGCTAGTTCAAAACAAGCAGGGGGAGATTAGACTCCACATGTTAAACTGAGGAATTTAACAAAGCGGGAGATTTGGAAGTCAAGATAAAATACAATAAACGCGGAAAGCCAAATGCAATCAAAAATGATGTTTGTGAGAATATTGGACTAAAAAACGATGTCTACACGATTTGTAGCAAAAGGGTCTATCAGACGGCCTTGGGAAATGAGAAAAGTGTAAGAAATTGCCAAGAATTGCCCAGGGTTGAGATGAGATGGGGAAGGGAAGCTAGGAATGACTTAAAAGGAGAATAAGGGCAGGAGCCGAGGGAAAACGGTGGGCGCCAGCTTCAGGAGGGTTTGGGGCAAAACTTTGGGGCCAAGGAACAGAGGCCATTGGTTGGCTGATAAGACCCACGAGAAGAGGGGGTCCAAAAGGCCCGCTGTCTCGCTGGCCAACCTGGGTGCAAGAGAAGCTGGACTGGGGGAAGGAAGAGGGGAGAGAGAAGAGGGGGCTGAGGGGAGGGAAAGGCGGAGGGGTGCTTTTGCCCCGAAATAGGAGCAACTTGATCCCTTCCTAGTGGGAGAGACGAAGCCGAGCACTTTGCTGGAGTGGCCGGGTCGGATGTGATCCGCAAAAGCCTTGGAACGACTCCTTATGTCAGTGTCGCAAGTTTCAAACCTTTTCTTTCCTTCAAATTCAAATCCAGCCTCAGGAATGTTATATCTGCTATAAATGCACCTACCTAAAGCTAATTTCCTTCTGGCTTAAAATCAGCATTGGGTCTGCCTTGGCACGCAAGGCCTGCCTGTTACGAACGTTCACAGGGAGGGAGCAAGGAAAGGTAAGAAAAAGACCACAGAGAGCCCCCGAGGGGCTCGCAGAAGTTCAGGTACGGCCATCCTTCTGACTGAGAAGCATCTGGCCCGAGTTTCGATTCTGGAGGACAATTCCCGTGCCTTGGTCAAGCAGAAGTGGAGTCTCCCCCTATGACAGCAGTCTATCTTTAACAAAATATGGGGGAGCTTCCTAAGCAACCACTTCAACTTTTTGGTCAGTCGGCTCCCCCTCCTCTTGCTTCTTCCGAGCTTCTGCAGGGGGCCGGGGTGGCGGGTTGCTGGGGGGGTGCTTAATGGTGGCTCCTACTTGGAGTCGCTCTTGAGGCCTCGATTCAATGGGGCGCCACTCTTCGCCACGTATGGCAGCCTGAGGAATACAAGCCGGAGGGGGCCGATCGTGGAAAGGAAGGACAGTTAGGAAATGTCGCTGTTCTGAGTTTCAGCGCCCAGGAAAAAGCCAAACAAAATGAGGTTCGAAGGAAGAAATGGAAAGAAAATGCAATACGCTTAGCCAAACGAGATAAAGACC